ACCCAGCTTGCCCAATGTCTGTATAGACCGGGCACTTCAGCAGGGCTTTTTGGTGCTCTGTGAATCGGCTTTAGATACAAGCTCCGAAAAGCCATGCTGAAGTGCCTGACCTATGCAGACGCTGCAGACCTGGGTCGAATCAACATGCTTCCTCTTCCAGTAAAGCACTGTTTTTGTGTGTGTTCCATGTCTGCAAGCAGCTGAAAGCACATGCGTGTGTGTGTGCGTGCACCCCCCCCCCTTCCTGTTCCTTTTTAGGCTTGATCTGTTTGCCATGGAGGTGGGATGCCTCTGAACACATTCTCTGCTTTTGTTGGGAACATTATAAAGTTCTTTAAATGTTTTTTTTTCACATGATAGCAGCACCCCTACAGCTTTATGAGCTCCTAATTTTTTTTTTATTTGGGCATTCCTGCCTCTAAGATAGGAATTAAATGTTTGGTCACTACCATCATTGTCAAAGCCACCTTCTGCTCTGTGCAGGCAAGAGGTGTATGCGTGTTCTGGTTTTGCAGTTTGGAGCCATTTGCTTTACACGGGCCACTCTCTCCTTCCTCCCAGGATGCTCAGGGCGCCGAAGAGCGGGAAGCGCTAGCCAGAATGGCCGCCAATGTTGAAGATGCAGCATCTGCAGACTCGGTAGCCTATATTGAGAAATACCTGCGGAGCGTGCTGGCCGTGGAGAACATTCTCACCCTGGATCGCCTGCGCCAGGTCTGCTTTTAAAGCCACAGCGGACAGGAGTAAATACCCTGATTAGAGACACTGTGTTGTGATGGAAATGTTTTTATGAGTGCATACAATGGTTTGAGCGAGCCCTCAAAAGGGCCACTCTGGAAAGCAGAGACATATATTAGAGTGTGCCTGTGGCAAAGGTCCAAGGAAGCAAGTGAATAGAGGGGTAGCGCTTTCTCTGAGCTACTTTCTAAATTGTATGCAACACAGCATGGGGGGAGGGTTGGACAGGACTAAAGGCTCTGTCTTTCTGGCACTGTCTGTTCAGGGTGTGTTTATGCATGTGCTGAGACACTGCCCTGCCTTGAATTGCTCTCCAAAAAACTTGGTTTTGGCATGAAACCTGAAACTTCAGAAAGCTCCTTGTCCTGAGGTCATTAGCAAACTTTGTGTCCTCTCGCACAGTCTCTGCCTTGGAGTAACCAGGCCTGCTCTGTCAATACATAAGACATTGATTAGGTTAATCTTAAGTACTGTAACTTGATCTGTTTACCAGGAAAATCACGGGAGAGAGAAACGTTTATGGAAGATTGTACTTCTGGGTATAAATTATGCAAGCACGAGAGAGAAAGTTATGCAAAACAAACCCGAGTGCATGCTTGCCCACTATAAATTAACAGGAAAGTGCGCTGTACCTCTAAGTGTTGAAAGCAGGTTCCCCGTCAAATATAATTAGTTTAAAGGATTAAAATAGGAACTCGGCTAGGAAGAGGAGTCTTGCTGTTCACTTCTGTTAGAGGTACCGTCCTTCCTATAGAAGCAGAATTAGTCATTTGGTGACCTTCTAAAGAGGGTGATACAATCCTAGCTATAGTAGTTGTTTGTTCAGTGGGAGGGAACTAAACTTATCCACTCCCAGTAGACTTATTATCATCAGTGTACTCTAAAGCTTCTGGATTAAATTATGAAGGCTCCTTCTCTCTCAGGTGCATTAGTGTTGTAGAGCAGCGTTCTCATCTATATGCATAAATACACTTTGATTGTCCTGGTTGGAAGGCTGCAGAAGGCTCTGTGTCCTGATGTTGTGTGTGGTTGCAGGAGGTTGCAGTGAAGGAGCAGCTAATGGGCAAAGGAAAACTCTACAAGAGGAGCCTGAGCTCTCCCAACGTCAATCGGGTGAGTGTGCCGCTTACCATTCAGTGTCCATACAATTTTCAGGGCACTGGGAGTCGGAGAACAGACTCAAATCCAGTCTTTTGATTTGCTGCTGGTGGAGAAGCAAAGCTAGTGCGGGAATTGCTAATCAATCAGAAGCAAATTTCAGAAATCTCCCTACCCTTGTGGCTTAAACCAGCATGTTATAGGCACCCAGACCTGACCAGGGCAGGTCGAAATATAGGGTGTTCAGAAGTGCATTTTGCATCTCTATTGTGCCTTTGAAATGCCAACTGTTTTTCACCGAAATATTGAGGTAATAAATATTTTCTGCTTACTGTTCTTCCCATTCAATGATCTCAGCCCCGGGGACAGATGTACTGTTTGAGGCGCTCCATCCAGTCACTGTACAGATGTACATTTTCAAAATGGTAAAAGTGCTTCAAAAATGATTTTCAAACCATGAAAAACATCTTTGAAGCAATTCCTTTGGAAGCACTTCCTGGAATACCTGCACACTCCATTGAGTGTGACCGTGGGTGGCTCCGTCTTCCAGCATCCCACAGCGCTCCGATGCCACTGACATTAGGCGTGGCAGGGCTGAGAATGAAGCACTGTCGGATGCCGGAGGACTGAGCAACCCCCTGTTGTGCTCCTGCATGTTGTTGTGTTGGAAGCTGTGGGTGAGAGCCATGCATCTACATGGCACTAACGCTCTCCTATGGAGTGAAATTCAGAGTGCTTCAAATCCATGCCTTGCCATGGCCTCAAAGCACATTGCAAATTATTATACCAACGAATTCAGCCTTTGACCAGCCCGTGTTGCAGAGATAATCTTTTCTGTGTAGCCCATGAGGAGGCCAAGATTTTGACTTGCCCAAGATCTCAGCAATGCATGGTAGAGTGGGACTGGATCTCCCTCCTCCTTTCCTAGCACCCCTCCTATCTTTGGTCAAGCGCTACAGTTATTTGGAAGTACTTTTAAATGTTCTGTTCAGAAATAATGGCCTTTACTTTAACCGTTTCAGCTCTCTGGAAGCCGTCAAGATTTAGCTCCTCCATATAACCTTAGCAGTCACAAGGTAAGCATTCGACCTAGAGCAAAGTAGCTAGCACTGGTTCTCAACAAGTTGGCCATAGTGGGCCACACTTGCAGCTCTCAGTGTATTATGCGGGCTGCACCTGCACAACTTACTTGTATATCCATTTTAAAAATGTTTTGTATCTGTTGTTGTACAGGCTGCAGCAGTGGGCTGATTAGGCCGCATGCAGCCAGGGGGCCACAGATTGAGAACTGCTGGGCTAGAGCATTACTTTTAGGGAAGAAAGGTGATCACAATGTACACCTCATGTTCAAGGAGCAGCTTGGAGAACAACAATACTTCCCTTGTGTGATGGGTGACCCCAAAATCCATCCAGTCACCTGTCAGGAAAAAAAATCAAAACACAATTCAGAAACACTTTTTATTAAATGAGCAAAGAAACAAATTAACCTTTTTTTTTCTTTTTTTTTTGCAAGGCCTAGATAGACTAGATTTTTCCCATGATCAATAAGCAGACTTGTTTTGTAAGTGCATAGTAGTGCATGTATGTATGTATATGCGTGGGTGAGTAGCATACTGTTATACATTTTTTTGTATTAACATGCATATAAGGAGACTATAGGGGGAGAAAGCATTTAAATGTATAATGCAGTTATGTGGAACCAAAAAAAAAAGTCATGTCTGAATCTGCATCTAAATCTGGTAGATATATGATATGCTACAATACCTGCAGGTTATCAAGTATGCTTATAACATCCATAGAAACACCCCATGCATGCTCTAAAAACAGTGTATTTTATTTAAAAAAACACTGTCTGAATTCTCATGGTTTGTTTCCTGTTTTTTCCTTTCCCCCCCTTGCCCCTCACTCCCTTTTCCTGGTATCCCTCATTGCATGCTTCAGTGTCCAAAGGTCCCACCAGAGGTAATACATTAGGTCCACCTAATGAGTGAGATAAGAGTTTTATCTCACTATAAAATTACTATATTGCGCTTGTTTGAAGCTGCTTTACTTTGATGGTTTTCTGCTTTGAGAACACAGCCATTGTTGCCTCATTTTCCTCCTCCACGCATGTAAGCAAGTAATTCCATTCTGCTTCGTGTTGCAGCGTGAAATGGGTGCAACAGCGAGGTTCAGCCCACTGCCTGCATCTTCTAGTTGAAGCTGTCGTTACAGCGCTCCACTGTCCAGTTCATAATTCTCTGGATACGTGATACATGGCGTGGTCACGTGGGATGCCTCTTCTTGTCCAAACTAGATGGGCAAGAAACAAGAAAAGCAGCTTGGTGTTAGAGCAGCTGCTGCTGTGGATCTTTCAGGCTTCCCTGGAATAATATCTCATTGTTAGCAGCTGGTGACCTCTGGGAAAGTTTGTCTAAATAGAAAGAGGGATGAGTGGAAGATAATTGCCCTTTGTGTCACCTCTTCACATTTCATCAGAGGAACTATCTTTTCATCCCTTTGGGCACTTATACATGTGCTCCGGGAGTGTTGGTGGTGGGGAGGCCTTTAACTCTGAGAGCCACTTTAATTAAAGCACCTGGAACGTCATGTGTATCAGTGTCCCTGCATTGAAAAATGGCGGCAGGGGCTCTTTAACTAAAGCTTGTCGAACAAGCATGTTGGAGCAGCTTTGCTGCATGTGTATAGGCGCCCTTTGGTTTTGCTGAGGCTTAGTTAACTGAATTTATTGTATAACCTATCTCTACTGCAGGTTATAGCTACCCTGATAGTGCTGCCCCCCTCTCCCCCCCGAGATATACCATACCAGTGTAAGATGAGGCATGTTACCATTATAACTACACAGATGTAACTAGGAATGTGTCTTGTCAAGCAATCTTTTGCTCACTACTAACATGTCACTAGTTGATTTGGAACAGGGATCCCGTTGAGAACCCCCATGTGCCTTTCATCTATGGAAGCTTGTTTCTTAAGTTATTCCTAAAAGCCAACAAAACCTCTTTTAAATAAAGCTCGCTTGAACGTTGTTAGATGTACTCTGCAAGCCCACCTGCACCAGTGCCGGCTCTCCAAATCAGTTTTTCCTGCATCAGTGTAAATGATTGGCTGCATTCAGTGAGTTTTAACCAAAATCGCTTCATTAGGGTCAAAGATCTTTGTCACTTGAAGACATTTAAACAAGTGTTTGGGCAAGAAGAGAAGCAGCCTGTTGTAGCAGATGACAGATTATTATACCACAAGCCTGGATGCACTTCGAAAAGGGGTCCGATTAGTTCATCTTAAGTTGTTTATTATAATGTAGCAGATATCAAGCACAGCGTATGGATTGCACCCTGGAATGGCGTGCATTACTCATCCATCAGAGTTCACTTTTAGGCATAAGGTGTGAGTCACTGTTGTGTACCAGCTTGGACAAGAAATTCCTCTCCTAGTTTTTTCTTCCATCACTTTGTTCCCCTCTTCTTTGATTGGACGGCATTAATCTTGGTGTCATTGCATCATCTCGAGTAGTTTACTCTCTGCTTATTTTTATACATGCAAAGCACCATTCACAACTGCGAGGTTATAGAAATAAGAGAAAAGAGAGGCTTGCGGCTGAGGGTATGTGAGAGATGTGATAGCACCACAGGGTCCTCAAAATGTAGGTTGTGTTGCAGAATCCAGAGCAAAAATAGTCTTATGTCAGTAGTTGGCTCTTCATTTTCCTGTAGGTGACATCTCTCCTAAATAAGAGGTTAAGAAAGTTCTTTCTTTGGGCACAGGGGTTGTGCACTCAGGAAATTATGTGCTAATGGCATATTTTTGAAGTGCATTCAAGATTAGCTGTGTATGCCAATATAAGAGACATGAGAGCTTTGTAATGGGGGAGTGCCTGAAGGGTAACCCAGCACTGAACCTGTGTGATGATGAATCACACCTGGGTTTTGCTTTTCAGCGACAGCTTTGTTTTGCAATGATGCATTGTAGGCTCAAAGCCACCCTGTTAGATGAGAAAGGAGGAAGACCATTTCCTTACAAACTCCAAGGCACTGTGGAGTCCCTGCTGTTTGTGTGGGAGCAGCTAATGGGGAAAGGAAAACCTGTTTAGCTCACGTTACATGGGGGTAACAATGCTTCATTTGGTCCCATCTCTGTCTGAGTTATCTCTGTTTACGCTGAGGGTCACAAACCAGTTTTTTCTCCAGCTATACCTACAGCGTGAGCAAGAGCACTTGAGCAATGTGAGTTCTGTTTTACCCTGTGTATCAACATGGGGGTCAGATGAGTTGAGTGTAACAGGATCTCTCACTGGTGATATCAAGTACAGATATAAATCAGCTGGACTTTAAAGTCCAAAGTCACTTATGCTAGCAGTCAGTTCATTTTCTCCTCCTCCCCTCACAGCTGAGCAAGCTGGACATGGACTCAATTAATGGCGCTCAGCTTGGAACCCGCGGTCCAGTTTACAATCACTCTTGGGCCTGCCCCTAATCATATGTCAATTGAAATCCTTCAGAGTTTGCTCCTAAAATCTCCTGATGATGATATCCTTGTTACAGTGGACTTTCCTGTGTCTCTGGCATCTGTGGGAGACTGTTGTTAACACTCCTAGCTACGAAGTCAGATGAGACAACAGGGCAGAGCCCCTTGACCTGCATATCCCAGTTAGGGCCAGCAATATTTTACAAAATAGTTTCAAAGTCATTCAGTGCAAATAAATTCAGCCTCCAATTTGATAGAGCAGACAAGGTTAGGATTGGCACCGAAACTGTAGTTAAATCCCGGGATCACCTATGCATAGCTCCTGTATGAAAGACTTTATGAAAGAGTGTTGAACGCTTTGCATACCTTGGCAGCCATCTCTCCCAAGAAGGCCAGCATCGACGAGGAGATCCAGTATAGGATCTGGTGTGCCAGCTCTGCCTTTGTGAATCATCACGTGTTCAATGCTCATGACATCAAAACTCAAACAAAGCTCCTACTGTGTAAGGCTGTGGTAATCCCAGCTCTTCTCTATGGCTGTAAAACTGGGGTGACCTACAGGGATCATCTGAAAAGCCTGGAGTGCCATCGCCAACGCTACCTCTGGAAGATCCCTGGCATAAGGTGGGAGGATCATTGCACAAATACCAGTGTCCTCACTGACACTAACACCACCAGTATGGAAGCATTGATTACTCAACATCAGCTGCGGTGGACAAGGCACTGTGCACACATGCCTGGTGCACCTTTACGAGAACAGCTGCTATACCCCCAATTCAGCCAAGGGCACACAGGGACCAGAGGAAATGCTTCAAGGATGGCCTCAAGGTGAACATTAAGAAATGTGGCATTGACACCCCAAACTGGGGAAAAACTAGCTCAGGACAGAGCTACATGGCAACACCTTGTAAGAGAAGGCCTATCTTACTTTGAGGAAAACTGGCGTGCCCTGGAGGCAGAAAAATGACAGAAATGGAAAGGAAGGAAACAAGACCGTGAAATCCATGGTCCAACTTTCCCTTTAACCCACTATCTGTGGCATTTGCTAGAGAGCCTGTGGCTCTAGGATTGGCCTTAGCTATCAGTGGACTTGTCTTGACTAATGGGAGTGATCATCCTCAACTGCTGACAGTGAAACACTTGGATAAATAAGAGTAAGACTATCCATTCCTATGGCCTGGCAGCAGTGTTTTAATGGCTTTCCAACTGCAGAGAAATAGGTGAGCCTGGTGCAGCTTAGAGAACGCATTAGGAAGCGATTTGCCATATTTACTGATGATAAATAAGCTGCTTTGTTCTTCTTGGGGGACAGAGTGCGATTCTGTCATCTACCAGCGGAGAAGGGAGAGAGCGACTAAAAGGGGAAAGTATTGCAGAAGGCAGAAAGACATTTTAGAAACAACCTTGTACATAAATGCAGCAAAGAACATGTTCGTGTAGTGGTTATTTTTGATTTGTTAAATTAAGTCAGTTGACCTTGGTGTTCAGTCATTTTGGCGGTGACCATGTACTGTATACTTGGAGTGACAGCTCCTTCAGATGCATGATTTATCAGCTCTCTTCCCTTCTCCTGCCACCCTCATTGATGGAAACTAAAGTTGCACAGCACTGAGTCTAACCAACTGGCACTACTTACAAATTTAAACGTTTTGGTCAGAGAGCGTACAAAGCAATCAAGTAAGAGCTATACATAATAAGCATATGCGAAACTTGGGAACTGCATCCAGTTAATATAGAGCATATATCTTGCAGTTTTACTGGCCATGGGAGTTTGTCTCTAAATGTTGGCTTACTCGCATAGCATAAGTCTCCCTCCTTTGACAAGTGATCATTACCACTATGACCCTCTGCTCTTTTAGGGTGGTATTTGATCTGCCCAGCGTTCAGTTATCCCTTGTGTACTGACCTTTTCTGCTGTATATACCCTCTTCTCCATCTGACCATTAGTGCAGTTCTCCCTGTCCCACCAGCACTTCCTTTGAGATGGCTTGCAGCCATCTTAAACTTGGCGGGTCACATTTAACCCGGTGTCTGTGACCAACTGTCTAAAATGAAGATTGTCTTTTCTTCTAATTTCTTTTCCCTACATCCTCAACTTTTTAAAACCCTGCTGTTTAATCTGAGCCAACTCCGAGCCAAAACCAAGACCCACCCCAACCTCAGTCATCGAGTTCCTGTACGCTGATGATGCTGTAGTGTGTGACAGACCTTCAAGCAGTTGTTGATGTCTTTAACAAGGCATGCAAGAAAACGGGGCTGACACTTAGCATTCAGAAGACTAAGGTCCTCCATCAACAAGCTGTTAATCACGGGTGCATGTACACATGTGCAATAGCCTAATTTGCTGTGATGTAAAGTGTCACAGTCTACACATGCAACACTGTTGGACCTCAGCAAACTAATTTTCACCACCATAAGACAGTACCATCGGGGACAGTGCTGTCTTTCAGCACAAAAATAACTGTGCCTGAATGCATGTGTAAACACTGACCTGGGAGGAAACTGCACCCAGTCAGCACAGGCAGCAGGGGGCCAGATCCCTGCCTGCCGCCTAGCTATACAGCTCTGCTCTTCGGGCACTCTTGTGCCCCAGACAGCCTTTTTGCCACCCAGCACTGAAACCTGGAGCCCAAGGCTGACACCCCCAAGCCTGCTGCCAGCCCAGGGCTGCTTCACCCCAGCTCAAACTGCTGTGGTCCCTCCCAGGCACAGCATCTGTATGTACAACCAGGAGCAGCTGACTCCAGCGTGAACTGCACAAGAGTTTACCACATCACTTTAATGGCATATGTAAATGTACCCAATGCCAGTCCTCAGCTCCAATAATTCAGATTCACAGTGAGTCTCTGGAGGATGTTGAATAGTTCCCATACCTTGGAAGCCATCTCTCGCAGAAGGCTGACACCGATGAAGAAATCCAACATCGCCTCAGATGTGCAAGTGCAGCCTTCAGACGCCTGAGGAAACAGGTGTTTGAAGACCATGACATCAGATCTGAAACCAAGCTGATGCTTTAGCAAGTAGTCATGATCCCCGCTGTACTGTACAGAGCTGAGATGTGGGCAATGTACAGGAGACATTTCAAGCTGCTGGAAAAGTACCATCAATGCTGCCTGTGGAAGATCCTATAAATCCAGTGGGAAGATGGATGCACCAACATGAGCCTCCTCTTGCAAAGAAACACCACGAGCATCAAGGCAATGATCATCTGATGTCAACTTTGCTGGGCTGGCCACATCATCTGTCTGACTCCAGATTCCTGAACCAAGTTTTATTCTCCCAGCTCAATCAAGGTGCATGCTCAAGAGGAAGACAGAGAAAGCGCTTCAAGGATGTCCTCAAGGCCAACTTGAAAAAATGCAATGTGGACATCAACTCATGGGAAAGGATCGCCCAGGACTGCCCCAAATGGAGGAGGAGTCCGCTGCAAGGATCTCAGGCAACAGGAGGTGGAAAAATGGGAGCAGTGGAAACAGCGTGCCAGTGTTATCTGTTGGCCTCAGATAGGCCTTGTTAGCCATCTTTGGACCCACAGAAAAGACAATCATGGAAAACAATCTTCCTTCACTGTGAGGGATTGATGATGATGATGATGTTCTTTGGATATTGATCTATGTAGGTGTCAAGTGTTTGCAGCAGCCCCTGGCCTTTATCATAGTCACTTCTAAAATACCAAATAGCCCACAGCAAGTTCCTCTCAAAGTGGTTCAAGTATTTTTTTAACCCCCTGTAACTTCCAGGGTCTCTCTTTGTACTATTACTGTTTATTATCCTAGGGCTTAAGAGCCTTACTCATGGACCAGCACCCCACCGTATAAACACAGGATGAAAACAGGGTGCCTGCCCCAAAGAGTTTACAAAATGTAAGACCAGAGGAGATTGCAAGGATGGCTTAATCCCCAGAGTGTGTGCTTGAAAGAGTGAGATGGGACAAAGCGTTACTAATAGCTTGGATAGCACCAGCGTAGAACTGGGACAGGTGATAATCAGAAGTAATGCATTGGTCAGCTGAGCCACTCGCTGCCGTTCCTAGATATTTCACGGATTTCTGTAGTCAAGCCCCTCACCACTTCTGCTGACGGCAGGGATGTTCACTGGTTGGGTGCTATAGAGAGTACATGATGTTTTGATTCTATGAGAGTAATGTATAGATCCGTTTGGAAATGATTTTTGCCCTGAGCTGCTCTCTGTGACCTTCAGCCCTTGGAGAAATCTATTCCTGCTCTCCTGGATTATTTATTATCCTTGAAATATTCCAGATTTTCATCTCTGTTAGTGCTCATTTAGCTACCTGTCACCTTCCCATTCAAAGTCTCATTATATTCTTGCATCCAGCAGTGGTAAGTTCTGGAAAAGTGCGATCCATGCATTTTTTTTTTCCACCGTGAGGGACTTTCCTGTTCTTGTGCCAGATGCTGCACCCTTGTGACCTAATGGGTACATCCTCTGAGCCTTAGTACATTGTTCCTTATCCCAACCCTCTAGCAAGACAGTGTTTTGAGGGCTATTATTACTTTCTAAAGGGACAGCAATGTTCGGGTATAAATGTCAGGACACTTTTCTGTGCATCTTGCATCTTAAGCTCCTAACTTGAGTGGTCTCATGCTTTCATTTGAATCAGCAGGTATTCCTCTCCATGCTGGGGGTATAGGTGTGCTTCCGCACGCTTCCTTCCCTTCCCCCCAGCCAATCTCATTCATGTTTTGGAGAAATAAATCTTCACATGCTTGAAATCTTGATCGCCGTCTCCAGCTTTCTGCAGAGACCAGAGTTTTTCTGTAAAACATACCAGCTGTGTGTAACCTTTGAGGGGAGGCTTTTTCAACCCAGGGACTTTCTTAATGCCATAATAGTCAACTGAATAGGTAAGTTTTGCCCGGGTGCATAAAAACGCACTCTGCTAGTGTTCCAGCGATTTCCTGGGCAATCTTGAGTTACATCATACATCTGAAAAGTGCAGGGCAGCTGCTTGGAGATCAGGGCGACCTTGGCTCTGTTCAGCGATCGCAGCCTCTGGATTTGATGCCCGTGTGAGGCAGTCCTCCAGCCATTTGGATAGGACTCCTAGCACCATCCTCCTGAGAGAGACCTGGTAGCTTGTCCCCTACAGTGGGACCCACGTGGACAAAGATTTGAAAGGCAGACTAGTTCAGTTCTTTCATAGACTCTGGTTCTTTGGGATGTGCTGTTCATGTAGACCCAGGGCCTGAACCCTCATTTTCACCATGACAATCTGTTGGTCGGGGGTTTTGCAAAGGAACAGAGGGGCTGTTGCATCTGCTCTGCCATGAGAGCCATGAGAAAGGGATGTGAGCCCAGTAGACATTGGCCAAAGAGCACATAGGACACAGGATCGTAGAACAGGATTCAGGTAGACTCAGCATCCCTAAAGAACCGCGGTGTCTGTAAAATACCCTTCCCATCTGCTGCCCAGTCTCACCTTGCCAGCCTTTCTCCCTCTCATCTCCAGGCCCTCTGTGACTCCACATTTTACCCCTATTGGCAATGCCAAAACCCTGACCCCATCCTCTAATTATCTCCCACCATGATACTGGTATGTATTGCAGTCTAACTTCCTTGTCTTGCACCTGTTCTCCCTTCTGCGCTATAGGAATGCAACAAGCACGATCGGTTTACTTTCCTGTAGACCTGACCCTCATCTCCCACTACCTGAACTTGTAGACCAGCTTCCAGACTTCAGTTCAGAAATCAGATTTCTCTTCTTCAGGGCTCTCCATCCATCTGTCTTACACTTTTCCATACCTCACTTGACTGCCCTTTTTGAAAGTCACGAAGCCTTTGCAGATTTTCAGGCCAAGAGGAGGGTTCATTACAAAGGTCTGGTCAGACCCACATGTAACACAGGCTGCAGAATTGCATTCGCCGATTCCCACAGTGAGTCCTCAGTGGTTGTAAGGAGCCAGCTATGCCTGTGGGACCTGAGGGAGCTCTGCATCTCGCAGGATCAGGCCTTTCAACTGAAAATGCTTTGGGGCAGGGGTTCTGTCCTTAGGTTTGCACGTTCTGCATATGGCAAAGGACTGTGATATGCTTGCATGAGATTAAAAATAGGTTAGTGGACTCCTCCTGTATGCATTACTTACGTTTTCAAAACTCATTTTTCTTCTAGAGTCGGTGGGAAAGCCAGCAAGATGTATCCCAAACTTCGACACATTCCGGTCGCAGGATGACCTCGCCTCCTGCGTTTTTGTCCGGCTCTGTTCAGGAAAACCATTCTCCAGACCCAGGTAACAGCTACCCCCAAGTTAAGTCAGCTACAGCAAAAGTTCAGAGTTAAGTGCTCTAGCTGGTATTTCAGGGAAAGAGAAGGTGAAATTCTTAGGGACCAAAGTCAATGCCACAGGGATCCAGCACAGCTT